CATTATTAATGGATTTAAAGGAAAATTTCTTTTGTTTTCCTTTTGAGCATGCATCACAGATTTTATCTTTATCAAATTTTAGCTTTGGTAATCCTCTTACTAAATATCCTTGAATTAGTCTTTGTAAAACACTCATGTTTGTATGTCCTAGTCTCCTATGTCATAACCAACTATCATGTTCATCATTAGCAACTAGGCACAAATTAGTCATATTTATTGTATCTAAATGCACCATGTATATGTTTCCTATTCTATGACCAATAAGCATAATCCGATTAGATGCAATGTCAATAACTTTATAACCATTTGATTCAAATAAGACATTGTATCATTTATCGCATAATTGACTAATACTCAATAGATTATGCTTTAACTCATTCACATAAAATACTTTTTTATTTGTATGGAAGAGGTATTATCTATACCTTCAACGTAACCTTTTGAGTTGTCACCAAAGGTTACCACTCCTCCATTTTTGTCGTTAAGCTCTATAAACCGGCTCTTGTCTCCAGTCATGTGTCTTGAGCATCCACTATCAAGGAACCATGAATTTGAACTTGTATTTTGTGCCTTATAGAATGCTCCTTTTCCTACAAACATAGATTAATTTTTTATTTTTGGTACTCAAATTCTTTTAGGTCCATATTCATTAGTCCCTAAAATCCTAGTCCCCTTGGGTATCCATTTATTTAGGATATCCTTATCTTTAGTAGTATTGAGTCCTTTAGGAACCCATATACTTATAACGATTTTATCATTAGAGGTTCTTTGGGGACCTCTATGATTGTAGTTTTAAAAACTTTTTCTAACAAAATTGGATTTTGAAATTTTTCCATTTTCAAAACGTTTTGTTCAAACTTTATTGAAAGAAGATTTAAGATCATCAATTTTCTTTTGATGATCGTCATTTACTTTTGAAAGTAAGTTATGCAAATCAGTATTTTTCTTTTCAAACTCATCTAGTTTGATTTGCAATTCTTTGACCTTACTTTCAAGATCAATGTTGGTTTTGGATTTGAGATCTTTTTCGTTTTTCCAGTTTTGAAATATCTTTCTTGTTTGAAAACAAATTTCTCATAATCCGAAGCCAACCCATTGTATTACTCTAATATATCATAAGAATAATCTTTGAAATCAAATGAGTTAGAGGTTACCTGAGAATCTTTCCCGGTGACCATCAAGCACAAGTTTACGACTTCTTGTTCCTCTTCATTAGATGATTCGTCATCACTTCAAGTAGCCACATGTGCTTTTTGTTTCTTCTTCGAAAAGACCCTTATTCTTCAAATTTGGGCAATCATATTTCATATGCCCAGGCTTCTTGCACTCATAGAAAATGATTGGGTCTTTCTCATTTATGAAGACTTCATTTCTTTTGAATTTTCTTCCTCTATTGGGCTTCATTAATTTTCTGAACCGTTTGGCAAATAATGTCATCTCTTCATCATCGTCATCATCATCAGAATCACTCTCATCTTTTGTGGATTTGAGAGCAACTCCAACATTTTTCTTTTTCTCCATCTCTTTCTTTGTCTCGTCCTTCTTCTCGAGGTCTACCTCATCTTGAATCATCATTTCATGCGTGAGGAGATAACCAATAAGCTCATCGAGAGTTAAAGACTTCAGGTCTTTAGCTTTTATAATCTTCGTTTTCTTTGATTGTCAAGCTTTTGGAGGAGAGAATAAATTATATTCCTTACAAGCTTCTCATTTGAAATGATTTCTCCATATACTTTGAGACCATTGACAATCACGGAAAATCTATTTGTCATAGCTTTGATATCTTCTCTTGGATTCATCCTGAAATTTTCATAGCTATGAGTAAGAAGAATAATTTTTTATTCTTTTACCTCATTGGTGCCTTCATGAGTGACTTGTAGTTTATCCCATATTTCCTTGGCGGTTGTACAAGATGAAACTCTCCCGTATTCATCTGGTCCAAGTGCACAGAAAAGAATATGGATAACCTTTGAGTTGAGCTGAAACATTCTCATCTCTTCTTCACTCCACATATTCATATCTATGGATGGTTCAGAGTATCCGTTCATCACAATTTTCCATGCTCCCATGTCACTAGCTTGAATGAAGTATATCATCCTATTCTTCCAATAAGTATAATTAGCTCCATTGAAGAAATGAGGCTTGTTGATGGGTTGAGAATCAAGAACGAAGTCGAAGTTTGATATAAAGGTCATTGATGACTTGAATATCGATATAACTCTTCCCGAATCGACTCAAGAGGTGGTAAAACCTTCAAATGAGTGTAGCTATGATACCAATTGTTGAGTTAATTGATAGACGAAATAGCCAAGAGGTGGTAAAACATTCAAATGTTTGCACAGCGATTTAGAGTGGTTCGACTTTCTCAACAAAGTCTACGTCCACTACCTTAGCTATCCACACTAAGGATTTTCCACAAATTCACTAATTTGTCTTTCTTTTGAAGACAAAGAGTAACCTTACAACTCCCTCAAGAATTATACTTTAAATTCTTGAGAACACTTTCTCCCAAAGAGAAAATTACAAATTTCGCAAACTTACAGAAAAACCTCACAAGGCAATATGTTTGCACAATTCTAGAACAAAGAAAAACACTCAAGAATGATTACAATTGAGTACAAATGGTGTTCTTGAAAGTAAAATGAATATTGAATGGAAAATAGGCTTGAAATGCTCAATCAATAAGTTTAAGGCTTTCTCTTTGATTCTCTAGCTTCTCTTTGTAATTTTTGTTTATCAATGGCTTCAGAACTTGTTTAAATACACCTTAGATTGATTCTGAACATTGGGGATCAATGGTGAAGTCAATAGATCTATTGTTGTATGTTTTCCATTTAAAAAATCTGTTAGGAGCGTCGGGGTATCGGTACACCTTCAAAAGGTATCAGTACACACAGTGTAAAATTCAAATATTTCGACCGTTATTTGACCAAGTATATCGGTACCTCCTAGGGGTATCGGTACACTAATTACATTCTATGTTTCTCGGAGCCAATTATGACATGAGGGGTATCGGTACATTCAGTTGTGTATCGGTACCCTTATTACATTCGAAATTCAGGGGTATTAGTACATTAGAGAAGTGTATCGGTACACCCCCTACATAAAATTCATTTTTGGTTCGATTAAGGTTCGAAATACTTTGTAAAAATTGTTTTAAAAATATGTTAAGATTGAAACACAATTTTACACTTAAGTAAAGAGTAAAATTGACATTTAAAAACTTGGAGTAATATTTTTTATATTCAATTAATTTAATCGAATATTATTTTTGAAATCGAATATAAAATCTTAAAATTCATTTACATTTTATTTGTTATATCGAAACATCAAAATGTTTTCAACAATAACTTCAATGAAAACAAAGATAATAAATAGTAAAAACGTATATGACATAAACTCATGTTAATACAAGAAAAAATATATTTGAAGAAATCATACAATCGTAAATAACATTGCAAGCATAACAAAAAGGCAAAGACAGACGCAAAGTAAATGTAAACCAAATTAAGAACTCGTAACTTGGCCAAAAGACGATACAAAATACAAAGATCAAGGTAGGCGGAAGAACAAGAAAGGGGACAAAAGCCTATTCAACGGGCCTCCCTAGAAAGAAAGCGACGCGGGCGGAACACAAGCTAGATTAGAGGGGGCATGGTCTTCCTAAAAATTAAAATATTTTAATTTTGACTCTTAAAATTAAAAATAATCAATTTGGTCCCTTTAAATTTTAAAAATTTAAATTATTTTTTTAATGTTCTTAACCATTTTATAATTTTTAAAAGTTCTCATTAAGTCTCAAAATTTTAAAAATTCTAGTTAGACCCTAATTTTTTGAAAAAATATAAACTAAACCCTTCAAAAGTTTTAAAAATCTTCACTTAAACCTCTAAACTTTTTAAAATTTTAAGTCGATCCCTCTAAACCCTATCACTGAGTTCCGACAATGGCCCTTTGTAAGCGGCACTTGCACAAGCACAACAATAAACGCCAACCATCTTCACGTTCTTGGAAGAGTTGCATGTTTAACCGTTCAAACACAGTGGCAAAGCGCCCAACCACGAAAGCATGCATCACAGACCACAAATAGTGTTATTCCTTTTCTAACAAGTTACTCCGGAACTCGACTCGATAAATTTAACAACAAAAAATCGAATTACTTTTTCAAAGTTCTTTAATCATGGGGTTAATTAAGGCTTTGCTCCATACTATAATTTATTCTTAACCAAGATTATGATTTCATTCATTAGGTTTTGCTCTATGAATTTATCTACCTCTTCCCCTAGGAAGATATATCTTTCTGAATCCGTACTCCCATGGCTCTGCATTAAAAGTTCAATGTAGAAAAAAATAATTACATGTACAATTTTTTGTACAATAACTACTTATAAAGGGAGTACACAAAAAATTATCAGAAATGGTACAGCTATTACCCTCCAAGCAGTGACGGACTAGACATTTTGTTTTGGAGGGGCCAATTATTGAAAATGATTTTAATAATAGCTTTATCTATTAAATCTCATATGTGATTTCATTAAACAAATGTAGATTTATAAAGGTTTTGTTTTTAATAAATTCTCCACTAAAGTCTTTTCGGAACGAAAATGAAATGAAATTATAGTAGTAGGTTATGGCACTCAAATTGTAGATGGAACACCTAAAAATTTGAGAAAATTAATAGGAATTTATATGTGAAACTAAAGGTGGAAGCATCGACAACCCTAACGGCATCCACGCCGAAGATCTTATAATCATCGCCTCCATGATGATTCCAAAATGTCATTTCGTGTCTTTGAAGTACCAGGTTCAGACGAAACCAAATCGAAATTGTTCGATAACAAAATTTCGGAAACGCTTTAAAACTTAAAATATTGACTATATTTTAAAAAAAAAACATACGTAGAAATTAAAAACAAAAATCTTGCGCTTCATCATCACAATGATAAAAGGGTTAATTTTATTTCATCCTGTATAGAAATACAAAAACGAATGATTAAATTAAAAAAAAAATCAAAATCACTTAATTATGCTAAGAGATACGAGTGAAACACTCATCTACGTCCTTTTGCAGGTCTATCTTTCAGAATTCGTACTCCCATGTATCTGCATCAAAAGTTAATTATATATATATGATTTTTTTGTAAAACAAACTAATAAGCATTGCAAGAAATGTTACCTTCCGAGCATCATAACCGTTGCTTGAGGATTAGTTCCAGGTGTGACATGAAAGGTAGAAGCGTCGATAACCCTAAGACCATCGACGCCGACGACTCTGTAATCTTTATCCACAACCTTACCCACTTCGCAGCTCCCATGATAATGCCAGAATGTCATCACTGTGTCGTTGCAGAATTTTTCCATAGACGATACGGTGCCCATGCTTCTAGATCTGAGGTTGGTGGGAAGCGCCACCGTCAGCTGCAGAAGAAGTTGTGTGGAGATTGCTGGGTAACGAAATCTCGAAAAGGGTGATGAATCTACCACCTTCAAGACGGTTTCCATGCCTCGAACGCACTGTTTCAAGTCTTCTGGGTCTTTGAAGTAATTGAACGTCACCTTGGGAGTCTCTTTTGGGTTTGTGCTTTTAAGCTCGAGGTTGCCTTTCGAACGTGGACGCCCGGCTTTCTGAATAATTGCGCCGCCTTGAAGTTTTTGTTGGGTGGTGGATCCAACTTTAATCTTTGCTATGTTAAACACCTGCAACCACAACCATTGTTAAACACTAACTTTACATAGTTAATTAGTATATGTTCATCATGTCCTATGTTAATTAAAACCTGGTTGAGGAGTGGGGGCAAGAATCTCAGCATCTCTCCAAGGGGAGGCAAGTTGAGTCCACTCCATGCTTCAATGTAGTTCCCATATTGTGTTATGCCCACAGTGGAAAGCAGTGAGACCTCAACGGGCAAAGGGGAAGGAACACTAACACCGTTCATAGCATTATCGGCCAAGTTTTGGCCAACCATGGGTAGATCCACTAGCACCTGTATGCCGAGTGCCTTGAGTTTATTAGCAGGACCAATACCGCTCAGCATCAGCAGCTGTGGGCTTCCAATGGCGCCCATTGATACGATTACTTCGCTCATGGGGTCTTTCGTCAACAGTGCCTTGTGCGTCACACCCGACGCATCCTCGTATATCACCCCGGTTGCTTTGGGTCGTGATGGTTGGCCGGGCTTATCTTCGGTCGTGAAAATGATGCTAAGCACTGTGGCATGCAAGTAAACCTTGATGTTCGTTGGGTCGGCGTACTCGAGCAAGTCGGCAGCACTATGTCTATGATCGTTCTTGTCGAAGATGGTCGCACCAGTTTTAGTCCCTTTGATGTGATCATACGTGAACCTGTTGTCCGGTGTAACCCCGGCTTGGAGCAACCCGGCCCTCACTGCCGATTGCCACAGCAACAATGGTGCCTCGAACGCCAACTTCTGTTCAACCCACTGATATGAATCTCTTACTAGAGCTTCATCGAAACCAACTTCCTTTATGAACTCCGGGTCAGCATATGAGTAAAACCCTGCGTTGATCACCGAGCCACCGCCGAGCACGCGTGCTCGGTGGCTGAATACTCCGTCCGTCGAATTGAATTGTTGAGCATATGAATCGGGTGAGGAATCGTAAAGTCCGGACAAGAAGTTTACTTTGTCTGTTCTGTCAGGTTTGAGATAGGGAGACCCTCCTCTTTCGAGAACTAAAACGTTGGCCTTCTCCGACAGGGTTGCAGCTAAGGGACAGCCGGCAGTTCCTCCACCGACGACAATGTAGGCATGGTATGAGACCTGAGGAGCTGTAGTTGCTTCACGAACAAAACTATAATTTGGAGCTACAAAATAATGGTTACCTTCAGTATTTGTTTCCATTAATACAATCGAATGGAGTCGAATCAAATTAAAATATAACATTACCTTTCTCAGCATGGCAGAAGTAAGGGTGCAAAGCTGAAACAACAACGAGAAAAGCATTGAGAAACTTCCATGATCCTCTGTCCATTCTGCGTTTCCTTTAGAATTTAATCTGATAATTATGAACACATTCAAATATTATATGAATTCAATCGGAATAAGAGATGCAAACTTGTCTCCACGTGAACAGCAACCAAAAGAGCCTTTAGAAACCTCCTTGATCCGAAATCCATGGTGAATCTCCTGATTTGCTTTACTCCCTAATCCGCGGTCAGTTATGTTTATTTATGTTTAATACTATTTTATTAAAGTTGTAAAAAAGACATTTAACAATTTAAATACAAGTAGATTGGGTCAGGTTTAAGCTTTCATATCGTTATCTGGGTCGGGCTTGAACAAAAATGTAAATATTAGTATATTGTTATTTATTTAGATAAATAATTATTTGATAATTTAAAATGTAAATTATACACAAATTTTTATAAAATATAATAAGATTTTAAAATTTAAATATGAGGTAAACCAACCCTATTATCGTAATAAAAAATTCATTCTAGTCTTAATTAATATTAAGTTTCCAACAATATTTTCCCTCTCCTCTTATGCTATATTATTGTTAAGCGAGATTACGAAATTACTTAAATATATATAAAAGATGAACACGTGTACTTCAAAGCAGGTACGAAAGTTTGAATTCGCAGCCTAACTCTGCTTTACTTCACCTACGGACAAATTTGCTCAACACTTTCCTCTCCAGATGACATAGAGATTATAGCTCTTCACGCTTTGAACCGGCGATGAGTACGAAAATTTCTGGTATTCGGTAATCATATTGATTTCGAATTATAGAGAGCATTGAATTGATCTTAAATAAGTTGAGATTCACGTTATTCTGAAAGGAACTTTACCCGTAATTAATCATCAAGAACAATGAAACTAGATGAAACGAAAGCTGAAATAAGAAGAAGAAAAATAATTTACAGAGCTGAAATTTTCCCCGAAGAAGCAAATCTCAATGTATACATACTATCATATCCCACATCGAAAGGCTTCGACTTATTACAAAGGTTATGGCTTTTCAACTATTCCTCTGTTCTCCTGTTTGAAATTACTATGATTTTAATGATACAAAACCTGTATGATTAATTTCAACAAGCTTTCTCTGTATATATATGTGTGTGTACTACAGCTGATTCTAAAGCTTCCTACTAGCAGAAGGGATGATCTTGATAACAAGACCGGGGAAAACATCATCGGGATCGTGGATGTGCGGGTTGCGCTCGACGATGAAGGGGTCGCCGCACTTGTTGCTGATGGAGTGAAGCGTCTCCCCTTCGGTCACCACATATATTTCATCGCAGGGTCGGTTCACGAGCCGAGTGCCTCTCACTGGTTCTTCATCATCCGATACAGAGCTTGCCCTGATTGACCCTATCAGTATTAAGACCAGTAAAGCTACCGAACAGTACCACGAGACAGCGTCGACCAGCACCGTTGACTTGATTTTCATGGTTTTCCTTGATGGGGAAGAAGAAGAAGAAGAAACCATGGAAAGGATTGAGAAACAGAGATTAGGGTTTCTGCGAAAAAAGATAACTTCGATGAAACAGAGCAAAATGAAATGATGGAAGGATACCACGATAAGGGAAGGAACTGCCTTTTATACACTTTTGCGTTGGTAGGTATTTGAATATTTTCATTAATTACTCATATTTAACAATAAATTAATTCCATAAAAAAATCTTTAAAATCTAAGTATCTTTAACATATGATCAACTTCCTTTGATAGCGAGAAAATTACTAAAATAATTTGCATTCTTAATTATAAACGAATTATTACCTTATACATGATAGTGGGAACAACATTTCATAAAAGTAATGTATTAATATCATATATCTTTAAGTTATATGGAAGCAAAATCTTTGACGTGTCGAGATAGGAAATTCATAGCATATATTACGTGTAATAATTAGCCGTAATTGAAGTTTTTAGTTTCCCAAAACGTGCGTATAGAGTATAATGTTCCCCACAAATATATCAATATTACGCGATTAAGTAATCACTAAATCAAATTTATTTTTGGGTAAAGTACATCAAGGGTTCATAAAATATGATTAAATGATTTTTTTACTAATTTAAATTTCAACAATTATAAAATGATCATTACATTTATCGAACTATTACAAAATGATCATCACGGTGTTATAGATTGATCAATAAATTTATTAAACTATTATAAAATAATCACCAAGACGTTACACAGTGATCACTAAATTTATTAAATTGTTATAAAATAATCATTAAATTTTATTGAACTATTATAAAATGATTACCACAACGTTAGAAAATTATCATTAAATTTATTGAATTGCCATAAAATAAAATGTCGTTAAATTTATCAAATTTTATTATCATTACAAGGTCACACTGTCTAGTTTATAATGATTTGATAAATGTAATGATTATTTTATAATTTTTGAAGTTTAGTGACCAAAATAATCACTTGATTGTAGTCTAGGGACCTTTACTGTACTTTACCCTTTATTTATTTATTCTTTTGCAATTTCTTATATATAAAGGGTTAAAATATGTCATAAGTCTAATACTCTTTGTATATTTGGAATTTAGTCCCTTTATATTTTAGATTTAAAAGTGTAAATTCAATTGTTAATACCGTTAAAATTATTCTATCAAATTCAAGTCTACTAAAATGGGTTTAACAGAGAAATTTAAGTTCGTTACGTGGCTTCCAAATTATTGTTTTTTTTCAAAATAAAATATCAACTAATTTAATATAAAAATATTAATGACAAGGGCAACTGAACCTGAATTATTCAACCTAAGAAAATAATGGACTAAATTACAAATGTACAAAAAACAAAGGGACTTAAAACATATCTTAACCAACATAAAATGCACGGTTGTGGTTGACAATGATGATGAGACTTCTTTCCCCACCAATTATTTGTTTATTGTTATTATTATTATTTTAATAAGATGAGAAGACTTTGTTTAATAATTGCATCTTTATCTTTAACGAACTATATAAGAGATTAGGTAATGTCAACAATTAATAAATTTCGTTCTTTCATATTTATTATTCTGAAGAAAGTCAGTATCTTTCTGTTTTTCTCTCCTAATTTTCCATTAATGGTAGGTCATTTATATCTTTCTTCTTTTTATTTTTGTTAATCAACGAATACACTGATTTTAATATAATTGTTGATTGTCGGTATTTTTTATTTTTCTTTTATTTTATTATATTACATCTTTATTTTCTTTTACTTTTTTAATTTCAATAAGTCTATATGTATAACATGTCTTCATCTACCTTTACGACACGTTTTTTTTATCTTTTTGGCACGTTTTTGGTCGTTTGACCGTTGTTTTCACTTATCTTTTTTCTAAGGGTTGATTTGACATTTATATGTTATATTGTTGATATTCACTGTTTTGGACCCTCAGATTGGATTTAGATACCCGTTATGCTTTCATGGACAGTTTTTATGTCGCTCGAGTCTGATTTTTTGTTTGTCGGTGGTCATTTAGTTGCTTGATATCCTTTGGGGTTCGCTTGTCGATGTGATCAAATATGTTTGTATATCTATCTTTATTTGAGTTTTCTTGGTTAGATTCTAATCTTCTCTTGTATGATCCTTATGTGATCTTAAGTTGTTAGTTTTGTTTCAATGATTATAGGAATTTACCCAAATTATGTGCTTAATTGACGATTATGATTGTAAATCTTTATTATAATTTGAGATATTTTTTATTTTGAATAACATTAGTGATTTTATAAAAATAATAATAATAATTACTATCGTGATTGGTCCGTAAATAGATTTTTAAAGATTTTTCTAATAAAAAGCTTTACCACACAAAATATACAGTATAGTACACAAGGGGTTATTAAATTATGTTCAAGTGATTATTTTGATTATTAAATTTTTAAAAAATTATTATTAAATTTATTGAATTATTACAAAATGATTATTATTAAATCTTTATATTGTATTATAACATCATAATAACAATTTAATAACTTGAATGACAATTTGAGTGTGGGCGTGGCCAATAGCTTAAAGCAATTGTGAGCGTCCAATCTCCAGCATTGGCAAAGTGATGGGCATGGCATGGCGTTTGCATCAATGCCCAAACCGACCTACTAAATTAAATTATCTCTAGGTTTATTGAATTGTTATAAAATAATCATTAAATTTTATTGAACTATTATAAAATAATTACCACAGCGTTAGGAAATTATCATTAGATTTATTGAATTTGACCAAGTTAGGGATGGAATTTGGTGTTTTTGGTAAAGTCTTTATTTGGCATGCAAAACATTGCCAAGAGTCGCTGAATGACCGAGTCCTTCACCCATTTCAATGCTTTTTGGAGGCCATCGTTTTCAAAATTAACCATAGCCCACGATGCTCATGATTCTGTGTTGATCGATGTCTTCGGAATAGAATTCAAATGAAAGCAACGTTGGTGGCCTAGCCGTGTAGGCCGGTCCAAGTTGACATTGGAAAATAATAATTGAAACACACCCCATTGCTAATGTTTTTAGGTTTGCTCTGGATGATCGGTCAAGTTGTTTAATTTTATTCGCTCTTCTTATATTTTTTAGATTTTAAGTTTTTTGTTTTCCCTTGAAATTCTGGATTAGAATAGCTACGCCTATAGAATGTATGTACGTTATCAATGATTAAGAAAGATTAATAACATATACAAACTTTTGCTTCCCATTATTCTTAATTTGTGCGCCCAAATAAGATATTTGGATTTTAGTTTTAAAAAGTTTAAATATATAAAAGGTGTCCAATCTATGCCTTTTTTCAGTTTAATACTTAATGTTTTATTTGGTTACTTAAAATGAGGCAAGTCCTGATAGACCATTAATTTTCTCCTTTAAGGGACACATGTCACAATCTCGTAATTTAAAAAAAATTAAAAAAATATTATTATATTTATATTAAAAACCCTTATTTATTTTAAATTATAAAAAAACCTCAAAATCCCTAAAACCTCCAAATTCTAACACTAACCTGTCGCCGTCGTAGTCCTGGTCATCATCCTAGTTATAAGTCGTCGATTGGTCGTCGAAATCGCCTGGGATTGCAATTTTCATCCTAGGGTTCGTGGGGTATAAAACGTCGATTCGTTGTCGATCAACCGTTGGTCAGTCACGATTTCACATGGGTTTTGGTCGTCTAGGGAGATGAGGCGGTGGAGCTTTGTCGATGGCAACACTAACCTGTCGCCGTCGTAGTCCTGGTCATCATCCTAGTTATAAGTCGTCGATTGGTCGTCGAAATCGCCTGGGATTGCAATTTTCATCCTAGGGTTCGTGGGGTATAAAACGTCGATTCGTTGTCGATCAACCGTTGGTCAGTCACGATTTCACATGGGTTTTGGTCGTCTAGGGGAGATGAGGTCGGGTGGAGCTTTGTCGATGGCAAAGGGTGACAGTCGACGTGGGTTTAAGGGTTAAAATGAAGGTTTTTAAAGTTTTGGGGTTATTTCAAAATTTATGTGATTTCTTTTTTAAAAATATATATACTTTTATATTTTTAATCTTATATAAAAATTTTAAAATTATCATATTGTGACACATGTCACTTAACGAAGAAAACTAACAGTCTGTCGCGGCTTTACCCATCTTGAGTAACGGAATGAAACTCTATACACCAAACTGGAATGAAATAAATGTTAGACACTAAACTGAAAAAACAGACATAGGTTAAACACCTTTTGTATATTTAATCCTTTTAAAATTGAATAGCGATTTATCATTTAAACTGATAATTAATAATTTATTAATATTTTTGTTTAAATTCTATACGAGTTAAATTAACTAAATATAACTAACGGTATGCAGAAAATCTTCGTAGGGAGACTCACTCACTAAAATCAAATGTGCGACACAAATTGATCCGAATTAATCAAGATGACAGCGAAGGCAACTAAAAACAATTAACTAAATAAATATATGCATATATCACCTGATCGATGAAGATAAAGTTCATTTTTGTCATTTAAAGTGGAAATTAATGGTCTAAGCAAGGGAAGTTTGGCGATTATCAATTGTCCATAAATTCATATAATAAAGTCCCCCTTATCTTTATTAATTCGGAATTACTTAGTATTTATATCCCTTAAATGTAAATATTAACAGTTGACGGGATTGCTTAATAAAAAATCATAGACAGTTACTATAGGGTAATTTTTGTGTGTGTGAATTATCATTGAATCCGGTTGCTTTTGGCCATTTAAGCACACAAAAATGTGGTGAAGGGTCTCAATATAATAAATAATTCGATTGAAGATAAATGTAGTAAAATTTACCAACTATTTAAGAAAACAATTCGAAACGAAAATCAGAAAAGAACAAAAGATAAAGATAAAACAAAATAATTGAGACCAAAATGAATAGACGTAAGGCATGTGCTAACTCTATGCATGTCAAGCAGATAACTACAACCGACAACCCTCAAGATTCAGCCATTCAAGCTCCCTCCTCTTGGTATAATTCTCATTATGGTTTTAGATGACAACCCTTTGCTTGCTTTTGTTTATTATATATTGATTGTTCATTTTCTGTGTCCTGGGGAAAATT